TTTGGGAAGTTATTTAGTACAGTACTGGGAAGGTTTCTAGCAAATAAATTTTTTGAAATAACTTTTCGCTTCAAAATAATCAAGATAAATATTCTAATTTATCTGTTATAATTAAACAATCTGCTCTAAATATTATCATGATGATACGATGATTTTGTAATGTAGAAAATTAGGAAAGACAAAATTCAGGATGACATGGCAATTTATTTGAGACAAGAATAATGATACAATTCCAAGGCAAGATACTATTCCTTTAACTCCAATTACCGAGGGAACCAATTAATATTGATTTTATTCAACTTATCGAGTATTTTTCAAGGGACCGGGGGAAAAATGTTCACTTTATCGAGAGATTCGTTAGACAAACCTTTACTTGGGTAGCTGGGTAACGTCCGCTAGTGTTGTATAAAAAATGAACCTACCTGATTTGTCGCTTTTTTTCTTGATGTTCATGGTTGTTTCTTCTTGCTCAACTAAATCAATTTTACGTTTTTTTCTGAATGGGTATTGATCCAGCTTCTTCACCAGTTGTAGCGTAGAAATAGACCTTGAAATATCCTAAGATGTAAAAGTATTTATTGATGACGTCACCGCGACGAGTCGACAATTATTTACAAATCAAAAACAATACTATCTACAGCTAGGGAATCTTAAGCAAGCAAGCGAAGAAATATTTTAAAGATGATTTTACAAATACAGAGTAATATATATTTTTATAATCTGTTGAATATTTTCGCATTGAATAATATTAAATTAAATAATAAAATATATTTTCGCCACAATATTATATTAGTTGTGAGCACAAAATTTACAAAATATCTCTACTACTTAGAACTAAAATTTTGAAAATATCCTTTCAATACCAATAGTATGTTTTAATACAATAGACTAACTAAAAGTCTACAAGATAAATATCTTACTCATATACAGTATAGGGAATGAATTTATATTCTTTTTCAATTTTTTTTTTCTGAAGGAAAATCAATTATACAAAACCACTATAATAAAATTTCATCACCAGGTGATTGGCGATATTTGCAGAAACCTGATTATTCCAATATGAAGCAATAATTGTCAAACTGTTGCCATCTATTAATATTATGCATATTATTTCAGAATTATTATTATTATGTGATATTATATATCTTCTCAAATTTGGAATATATTCTTCAATATTTTTGTTATTACATATTTATATATTGAAACGTATATATAAATATTTTATTATTTTGTTAAAATATGTTGGTAATTATCAATCAGTTCGTCGCATTTTATAATAACCTATTTATATTTCGCATACGTACTTTATATTTTGTTCTCTGATTGTAAAAAAAGGATTTATCCTGAAATATTCAGTATTCATTGATATTTTTAAAATGAGTAACGAATAATTTTCTAGATTCTTTCTTTTTGCCTTTGGTCACTTTGTTTTTCACCGCGCTAACTGTTATTAAAGTGAATTTTTCAAAGGCGAAAATATAATTAATTATTATCTAGTCTCTTAGTATTATAATCTAATCAAAATGACTGATCTGCATCAGGTAGTATTCCTCTTTATTATCTATATAAAACTGAGATGTGTTGACTTTTAGGGTTACTGTGTTTTAGGCAGAAGCAGGTGATGGTGGTTCGGAGTTTATAAAACTAAAAGTCGTGGGACAGGTTAGTATATCTTATTATCATTTAAATTTTAAAATTTCTAAAAGTTGAGTGTCACACAAAAATGCTTGGGTGTTTTTGCAAGGATACCTAAATGTATACTTTTGGAACTCTAGGGCAATACCGAAAATTTAAAAAAGCCGTTTTGTACACGCTAGAACGTGCAATATACAATCATCGTGCCTGCTGCAAGCCGATAATTTTAAGTGCGTTTTATATCCTTTAAAATAAACCTTATAATTGTTTGAACACTACTTCTTGTTTTCACAAAAATCCATAATATGGCCTTTAATATATATAAAAAAAATTCAAATTTATCTAATCTCCTATAATTAATTGGCTGGGGCTCAAATGTTTTAAAACAAACAGACTATTGATTTAAATATTTTTTTTTTTACATGTAATTTTAACAAATAAAGGTTATATAAAAATATCTAAAATATGCCATGTGATGTAAAAATGATGTAATTTGTTATTCTAAATTTAGTAACATGATTTTTTATATTTTAGATATGACATTTTTGTTATCAAATTTCCTTTGGAATGTAAGCACAATTTCATGTTAACTGGCATCAGCCAATCAGGAAACAAGGACTTTACATTGGTGATAAAAATTATAGCTCTGCTTCCTTATTGCTAAAGTATATTGTGAATGTTTCTGCAGTTACTTATTGGTTGGTAGATTTTTTACTATATATATATATTGGCAGATAAATGTGTGAAATTTATAAAATAAAAATTTCAGTATTATTACATTGTGGTATTTAAGATACCGCAGTCGCCTATGTAACGTCCTAGTGTTTGTTGATTGATGTTAATCAGCAAGAAGTACTTGGAAGTTAAAAGTCTTTATTTCTTTTAGGCTCACATCAGACATAATATATCAGACATAAGTTTACATGTGGATATATATTACAATAAGTCAAAAGGTAACTGCACAGGGTACCATCAGTGATGTACTCACTGATAATTTACTATATAGGCATGCCAGCTGCCGTTACAGCCTACTTATACCCACCATGATTATCATGGCCTGTACCACATGCACTAGGGATGAGCAAAATAGATACAAATATTCTGTTAAATTGACCGCCAGAGGTCACGCTTTGCATATAAAAACTCGTTGTTCTTCCCCATTGCCCGGAAAAGTCTCCACTGAGACTTGTGTGGGTGAAGGCAAGAATAATTCCGTTGTTCTTCCCCGTTGGTCGGCTCAAACATGTTTGTAATAATGTAAATAATATTTTGTTTTATTTATTCTTACGCCTTAAGCCAGGCAGTACTTTTATCAAATTATGTTATTTTATATATTATTCCTCAGCTCAAATAAATAAATCTATGATCTTCAAAAAAAAATTTATATAACATATATATACTGCCAAACTTGCTTCCCCCTTTCTGATTGGCTGCTAGAATCTGACATAGATGGTTGCAATTGGCCAATATTGTGACCTGTGTTGTCACAATCTATTTGTAGCTGTGGTCAATGACCATGGATGTTTGCAAACACAAGGTAGTAAGACACTAGTGTGTAACATTTGGGTAACATCATTGTTACCATCATCAGACAAAAGTACTGAATATAAGTTAATGAAGACATTCCCAATAGATATTTGATTTCTATAATGCCATTAGAAACTCAAGGTAGTATGACCAAATACCTAGTGTATAACATTTGGGTAACATCATTGTTACCACTATCAGACAAAGGTACTGAATATAAGTTAATGAAGACATTCCCAATAGATATTTGATTTCTATAATGCCATTAGAAACTCAAGGTAGTATGACCAAATACCTAGTGTGTAACATTTGGGTAACATCATTGTTACCACTATCAGACAAAAGTACTGAATATAAGTTAATGAAGACATTCCCAATAGATATTTGATTTCTATAATGCCATTAGAAACTCAAGGTAGTATGACCAAATACCTAGTGTGTAACATTTGGGTAACATCATTGTTACCACTATCAGACAAAAGTACTGAATATAAGTTAATGAAGACATTCCCAATAGATATTTGATTTCTATAATGCCATTAGAAACTCAAGGTAGTATGACCAAATACCTAGTGTGTAACATTTGGGTAACATCATTGTTACCACTATCAGACAAAAGTACTGAATATAAGTTAATGAAGACATTCCCAATAGATATTTGATTTCTATAATGCCATTAGAAACTCAAGGTAGTATGACCAAATACCTAGTGTATAACATTTGGGTAACATCATTGTTACCACTATCAGACAAAAGTACTGAATATAAGTTAATGAAGACATTCCCAATAGATATTTGATTTCTATAATGCCATTAGAAACTCAAGGTAGTAAGACCAAATACCTAGTGTATAACATTTGGGTAACATCATTGTTACCACTATCAGACAAAAGTACTGAATATAAGTTAATGAAGACATTCCCAATTGATATTTGATTTCTATAATGCCATTAGAAACTCAAGGTAGTAAGACCAAATACCTAGTGTATAACATTTGGGTAACATCATTGTTACCACTATCAGACAAAGGTACTGAATGTAAGTTAATGAAGACATTCCCAATTTGATTTCTATAATGCCATTTAGAAAAACAAAGTAGAAAGACTAAATCCAAATAAATAAATCATGCAGTACTTATATCTAATGGTAACAACACTGTTACAGAAATGTCGCATGTCTTGCTATCTATCTATCTATATATATATTTTTTACTTATCCTTTTAGTCTAAGTTAGACAAGATCTTGGAGGTCGTGCTCATAAAGAAGCTCAATAACTCTTTTTGGTTCTCTGTACAGGGATCTCTTGTCCTTTCCAATACAATTTAGTATATGTTGGGGAGTGGCCTCTTCGGTTTTGCACCTAGTGCACATGGGGAAGTTTTTGGCTCCCTCTTTATAGACTAGAGGGCGCAAGTAACCAGATTTCCATTTGGCCAACTGTGTCCGACTTCCTTCTATTTAGTTGGAGGGTTTTTTTTTTGGGGGGTTTTCTATTTGGTACCAAGAATGATGGAAACTATCTCTATGGTTCCAGTTGTAGTTTTAGTCTATCTATGAATGATTACAATTGGCCAATGATGGAAACTATCTCTATGGTTCCAGTTGTAGTTTTAGTCTTACCATCTATGAATGATTACAATTGGCCAATGATGGAAACTATCTCTATGGTTCCAGTTGTAGTTTTAGTCTTACTATCTATGAATGATTACAATTGGCCAATGATGGAAACTATCTCTATGGTTCCAGTTGTAGTTTTAGTCTTACTATCTATGAAGTGTGAAGTTCACTGTGTGAAGTTCACGGATAGATTTTGGTCAGAATGGATAAAATAAAAAAAGTGTCAAGGGATGGAATCGAACCCACGACCTTCCGCTTACCGGGCAGATGCCATGACCACTAGGCTACCCTGGACATATTTTTCCGTTCATAAATTAAATATTAAAACTATATATTCAAATTATTCTACTTAGCTCACGAACAGCGCCCTCTATCAAGGTTATAAATACGTTTAAAATCGAAATCTTTTCAAAATTTTATTAATAATAGTTCGCTTACTAATTAGTATACTTGATCTAAATCGAAATATTTATAGACGCTCGCTCGATTTGAAGATTTATATCGTAACTAATCTGACTGTAAAGTTTGGAGCAGGATGTTTCACAAGATTGACATCCACGGCGCCAATTTATAATTGTAACAAATAGTGTTTGAATAAAACATTTAATCGGGTAATCGGCGTTGCCCGGGTCATTCGTCTAGTAAATATATAAGAGGTAATTAAAGCAAATTTCTAATGGAATATTTGTATTCCTCCTCTTTTTAAAACCTTTGATAGAATTTGGGATAAAAAAAAGGGGGGGGGGGGGTTGGTGGCCAATTGTCAGGAGAGTTGTGTTCCAGGACAGCAATGAGATCCACTTCAGAGTCAAGATGACCACCCAGATGGGGAAACTGAAGAAGTCCTACAGTGAGAGAGTGGTAAGTATACATACTTTATATATATATGTATATCTTAGAGTTGATTTTTAGTGGGAACTTTTAATTTAGATTTCTTGGCTATCTGACCTAATGTATTCACTTGTAAAATTTTTGTTTAAGCTCCCTAAAGGATAAATACAGTAAAACCCCTCTATAGTGAACCCTTATGGGACAGAGCTTTTGGTTCACTATAGCCACGGTTTGGCTTTTTTTTTTTTTTTTTACATTTCAAAAATTTTAGACCGTATAATTAAAGGACGGCCATACACACTGGAAGAGGCTGTCTCTTAATAGTGGTCACTTTATTTTAATTCCCTTAATTGACCAATTTCCTTACAATAATACTAAATAATAAAAAAAATCATTAGATGATGGGTTCTTCTTATCATTAACATACATGTACCTCCATGTCTAATTTAAAAATCAAGACATATCCTAGGCAAAGTTTTAATAAATATAAATTCAAAGATATAAAATGATATTGAAACACCTTTATCATATAATATCTATAATACAATGTTTATTTGGAAAAATGGTTCAAATAACTTGTTGCTTCATAGCACTCTCCAAGCATTGCACCTTTCAAATAAAGTTTTTTTTTTTTTCTTCCATTTTATGTTTCCACATATTCTTCTTAACTCTAGATTTAGTGTTTTTTTTTATTTGTCATGCAAAAAAAAAAAAAACATTGCTGGTTTTAAAATCACTATAGTTCATGGCATAAAAATAATTTTTGTTTCATCACGGGCCCGTTTATTTGGACTTTTTTTTTTTTAAGCCCTAACACATGTGATCGTGGCAAAAGTTGAGGTTGATTCCTCTTTGTAACAATTTTTAATAGCCTTCTTTTTTTTTATCTCTTATAATGTAAAAGTATATTTTCTTATTTTAACATGTTATGAAATTTTGCCTGTGTTGTTTCACTTTGAAAAGTTTGGAAATGTCCTTTTCCCCCTTAGAATGTTTTTTTTTTTATTTATTTTGGAAGCCATTTGCATTTTTTTTTTTTCTATTCCAAATTTAATGGATGCAAAGATATTCTACTTAATAAAAAGTATAATGTGTAAAAAAAATGATATAACATACAGCAAGAATAGAATGTAAATAAAAAAAAAAAATGCCGCTAAATTTATTGTTTTGAAATCGCAATCCGCGAGTTGAACATTAATATTTTTTTAATTACAATTTTAAGTTCGTTATAAGCATAGTATTTAATATAGATTTTATTATTTTGGGACCGAAAATAGGTTTGTTATAGGGGTAGTTCGCTATTTTAAAATTTGCAAAGTTCGTTATAACGATGGTATTTACTCCCTTTTCCTATCATCAGATTAATCGCACAATTTAGAACCCTTTCAATTTTTTTTCAGAGAACACCATCTGATTTTATTGAGGCGTGAAGACCTGAAATGCACTTTCTGTGGATCAGGAATAACAACGGAGATGTTGCACTACTTATTTGACTGTGCTGCTCTGTCTGAGGAAAGACGAAAACTAAATGATAAAACGGGGCAACTTTGTCCTTCATTTCCGGCACTGATTAATGAAATATCAAAGAATAGGTATATAGCGATGGCGATATTTGGATTCCACAAGACTATATCCCGGAAAAAGGCCACACAATGTTCTCCCTATCCCTTGTGAACTGGCGAATCCTGTATAGGGCGAGAGGCCCTAAATTCTTGTTGTTGTTGTTGTTATAACGATGGTATTTTCAATGGAATGGAATTGGGAATTGCTGTAGGTTCGTTATAAGGGAAGGTTCGCTATATCCAGGGTTCGTATTAGCGTGGTTTTACTGTATATTTAATATCCTATATGAAGACCATCGTTGAATAACAACATATGGAAGAATAATAGGGGGTCGGTGGAAGGCTGGTTAAACCGTTTGGTTTTCGACCACTACGACCTGGGTTCGATTCCCGCATTGGACACTTTTTTCTGTTTAAAAAAAAATGCTCCAATGGCCCCCGATTCTTGCAAAAGTCCAACCCTACCAGCGAGTGCAAGTAACCAAACGGGGCTCTGGCACATTTGAAAGTGCAAAGTCGAACTACTTTTCACATGTGTAGACATGTGGTGCGCTTACAGTAAAAGCAGACGCTAAGTACCCACCATGATTATCATGGCCTGTACCGTGTTTACTAGGGATAAGCAAAAAAAAAAAGGAAGAATAATTTTTGGTTTCTCTAAAAATAAAAAGATCACCTCTCCCGTCAAAACTAGATGCCATCTATTGCCACAGCCACTAGTTTGCAGTCACTAGATGGTGTCTGACAGGTTACCTTTATTTTAATATCCTCCCCACCACAAATTTCCATCTATATTTGGGGTTATTGTAACCAATTCCACCTGTCTTGAGAGTGCATTTTTGTTTGAAAGAAAAGATTAGGGTTTACTGTATTTTTTTGTTGTTGGTATTTTTTTGGACAAATATATACACATAATATACGCAAACTTCTCAAACAAATCTTGTTCCCCGAAGAAGTTTGGCGAGTTGCCACACGAAATATTGGAAATAAAACTTTATGATCCAAAATAGGAATTTTTAAATAATGTGTAATATAAAAAATACATGTAGAGGAATAACATATTCAACCTTTGTGTGAGGCAAGTGTTAAGTTCCACTACCCTAGTAATTTTTCTCAGATTTATGCAATGTTGGGTCTATTTTCGAAATATGTGCACATTTGAAATGCCTGTCCCTTTATATAGATTTGAGGTAAAATTAAGGTTTAGGACTGTAAATTGAGAAAAGAATGTTCTTTATTTTGTTGCATTGAGCAACAATATCCTCTATGTGACTTGAAGAAGTTGGTTTTGTTTCTTTTGTCATGTTCGTAGAACTGACATCTCTCTGGTTGAAAAAATGTTACAAAAATAAAATTTTACTGGGATCAGGTGGATCTCCTGATCATGCAACTAAGTTGCTTTCACCATCTTGTTGATTTTGACTTGCATTAGATGCACTAAACAGGACCTTTGGGAGAGGCCACTGCTTATCATAAAACAGCTCGAGGAGCATGAACTCGTGGAATTTGTGTAATCTTTACACAAGGGGATAAGAAACAACAACAACAACAATCTTGTTGATTATTCCAGAATTGGGTCCAAATCAGGAGATGCTGCCTTAATTATCTGGTTGTTTATTTATTTGGGGAGATTGTGCTTATCTCTTAAAAAAAATATCTTTGGTTGAATGGCTGGTGATCTTGAGTACAAATTTAACTTCATCCTTTCAACATATCACTACCATTGGGGTTGGTGGTTTTGGCCACACTCACTTCATCACTTTGGACCAAGTATTTATGTTGTTAAAACTTGGGACTTTAGAATTATGTTGGTTAAAATCACATTGGTTTCACTGTAAAGGTATTAGACTGCCACAGACAGGTCTTACTGGTGACACTTGTATTAATTAGCTTTTATTCACACTGGGTAACTTTGACATTGGTTCATACTCTCAACATTTAAAGGAGATGTGGGGAGGATAAGCCCTGGAGTGGGGATTTGGCCAAATCTGAGCCTAACATGAAAAAAATGTACCCAAATCAGGTGTCATTTCAGATTTGGCCCAATCTCTCCCGGAGGTTTGTTCAAACTGTCTGCCACAACTGTTGGCGAGGTTTGTCCCTCAGTACAGGGTCAGTTGTTGAGTATTCCAAGTGGCTTTGTATTTACAAGGTGTGCCATTTGATTATTTACAATTAAGATTTGGGGGATTAAACTTTTTATTAACTACTTTAAAGTGTTGCTGAAAACTTAATTTAGACCAACATGATCAGTTTTTCTCATTTTTCATCTGTAATTCCAAATTGTCTATTATCAACTTGATCAGCTCAAGATCACCTCTCCCCCCAAGTCAGTGTAACCAGAGTGCTGTTGAACCTTTCTAGACCAGCTCCTATTACAATTCAGATAATCCCAGAGGAAACAGTAGAAGTATAGGGAATGAAAGTTGGGTTGAGGTAATGACAAGAAGGTTAAATAGTATTAATAATTAGAAAGCTTTTTACTGGAAAGGTTCCCATGAAGAGAAGTTTGCTGGACAACCTCTGTTGCAATAACTGCAGACCAAATACTATGGGAAAGGAAGGAAGGTGGAAATTATGAATGAGTTCTCAAGTTAAGAGTTTTTTGTAATCCAAGTCTCTGGGGACAGTGCTTGCCAGGGTCATTTAAGTTTTGTTAAAGGTAGGAAGGTGGTAATGGACCGAAGTTGATAGGGGACATTGAAAGTATTGCCAGTGAAGATTCTATAAGGAGATTATTGTTGTGTGTCAATTCCCAGTTGGCAGGAATCAATGGCTGCCTGCTGTAGAGAACATGTTGTAGGTCAGACCACCCTGTGTTTAATTCCAAACCATTCTATCACTCAAACAACAAACCTTTATTAAGACACTATTGTCTTACAAGGGGATTCCCCTAAAAAGT